GCAGCTGCGGAACATCTGGCTCGGGCTGCTGACGCGGGGCTACTGCCCCTGGGGGCGACCGGCGGGTGAGCGCGGTTCCGCGGAGAGGGCCGAGACCCGAGACCGGCAGCTGGAGCGAAGGCTCCGCAAAAGTTGAGACACCTGAATCGCTTCTCGCTTCGCGGCCACCCAGCAGGAGCGAAGGCGCAGGGGCGGGAAGGGCGCGGGACCACAGGCGGCCGGAGGGGGCGGCGCGCTCGCGGAGCTCCGGGCCGGAAAGTTGTGCGGGCGCCGCTGCTGCTGCAGAAGTGGCGGCGACGGCGGGCGCGGGCGATGGAAACGTACCTGTATTGTTCGCTAGTCTGGGCAGCGCAGGGCACGACGCGCGGCTCAGCGCTCCCCAGCCTCGCGCTAGCTGCCTCCACGAGAGCCGCCTGATTGGCCAGCGGCCTCCGCCGTTTAAAACAACCTCCTCGCCCGGCCATTGGCTGCAGGCCTCATGCATATTAAGCAGGTGCCCGCGCCCATTGGGCGCGGCCTCCTGGCTCATTCATTCAAACGGAACAAGCCGCGGGCACGGACCCTGGACGCAAAACACAGAACGGTATGCTCTCTTGCCCACTTTCCACACCGCCCTCCCAGAATCGAGCTGCGATCTCAAAGGACTTTGGAGATGTGGCCCGACAGTTCCCAGTGGCCACGGCCTCTGGCGTGGGAAAGTGAGGTCGAGCCAGCTGCTCTGCCCTCTGCTCCCGCTGCGCCGCACCTCTGCCGCCCCTCGCCCTGGCCCGTGGCCCCTGCCCCTGGAAACCTCTCTGGACCGATCAGCAAGGGCCGGCAGTCCAGTTCTACCCAAGTGCGACGCTGTAGAGGCCTGACAGTGTGTTCATACGCGGTGCCCATCCTACAGTCAGAAGCTGCTACATCCTTAGGGAGACCTGCAGCTTTCCATGCCTTCCAGAAAGAGGCCTGAATCGGCTCTCCTGGATTGCAAGAAACTCTACATGTGAGAAGCGTTAAACACAGTCTGGCAAGAGCAGAAACGAAAATGGTCCTTCTTCACTGCCCAGTGCACACATACATACATTTCCTCTCCTCTTCTGACAATCCCCCAGGAAAAAAATAAAAGTGCTTGGAATGACACAATGAATGACACTGACTGTATCTAGACTTTCCCCCTGAGGGAATGGGCCTTGAGCAACTCCCTTCTCTTGGAGAATCAAACAAAGGTTTTCAAGGTGTGTGGAGGCGGGAGCAGCATCACCTCTAATGGATGTTTGAGAAATGTGTGGGGATTTTGGTTGCCCGGATGACTGGCAGGTGTTGCTAGAATTTACAAAAAAAGAAGATGGATTGTCAGCAATCTAAATGCCCTTCCCTGGCCAAGCCAACCACCTAGGAGGCAAATGACCCCAAAGGTACTGTCAGCCCTGCTTGAAAACATCTGACAAGCCTGTGAGTACACAGCAGCGCTACAGTGCTCCTGTGAGAGGCCCTGCTTTCAATCCCCTCACCAAAAAATACTGAAAAGTGTCTGTGGGTACTTGCCTCTTTGACTTAACAAGCTTCCTGAAAAGGATGAAAGAAAAAGGAAGAATATATTAAAGGTTAAAATTTAGAGGCAGTAAAGCCTTATGGTCAACATCCCACTCACAGTCTAGTCCTTTATCTTTCAGAGAGATCTTAGGGTCAGATCTTTTCTCCAGGGAGACAGTGTCAGCTCCGACTACGTTTTTAGAGACCCAGCTGCTCAGGAAGGAATGCCTTCCCATCCCACTCTCTATCTCTGCCTAGCTCAGAGAAGAGCACAGTGTTCTCATCCCCCTCTCAGGAGTGAGCTGACCTCCTCTCAGGCAGAGCACTTTAGCCTCTCATCCTTTGAAGGCACTTGTAGGCCAGAGAGTCCAACTGGACTCACTATGGACAAGGCCTCTCTTTTGCTCAGCGTGCTGGCCACACTGGGAAGCTCAACTTAGCAAGAGACAGCACCTTGAAGGCCAGACCAAAGAAATAAGAGTGTCTCGAACTGCACAGCAGGTGTGATGGCACCTCCCAAGACCCCCTCCTTCTCTATGCCACCCAGACCACCACTCCTTCCTCACCCCACCTCTCCCTCCAGACCCCTCCTTCCCTACCCCAGTGGTGCCCCCTTTCCATATACATACTTCGAAAGAGGAAGGGTCTGTTCTTGTCCTTCAACATAATTGTTTCCATCGCTGTACAAAACTACTCCTTTTACTGAGCTGAAACCCTTAAACTAAACTGACATTCCGGACTGAAGTAGTCTTCATTAGAACCCTGTGGATTGTGACTATGACATCATATGCCTGCCTGTCAGAAAGGCAAGAGAGTAGAGTGCTATACACTTGCAGTTCCAACTCTTGGGAGGCTGAGACAGGAGGACTGTTATGAGTTTTTGACCAGTCTAGGCTACATAGCACACCCCAGGCATAAACTACCTTGTGTTCAAAAACAAAACCAAAAACATAGGCAAAGGAAAGTGTGAGATCTGATTCTATAGCCCTACCTTATGCCAAGAGTCCATGTACTTTTCCAATCTGACCTCCCTTAGTCCTTCGTTCCTCCCCCGGGAATCCCTATGACGAGGCTCCTCATGGCTTTTTTTCCTTCTGTGTACCAGCATGCCAGAGCACAGGCTATGATTTAGTGGGTTCCTAGCTCAGCCAAACTCTAATTTAAATCCTTGTATATATGTTAAATGCCTACTGATGGCATGACCTAGTAGCATATGCCTATAATCAGCATTTAAAAGGCCAAGAATTAAAGATCTCGAGTTTGAATCCAGCCTGGGCTGGTTGTATATTGAGACTCTGTCTCAAAAATCATGCGTAATCGTAAATAACAGGAGGGAGATGAGGAGAGGGGTAGGACAAGGATGGACCAAGGCTGTGAGTGACTCCAGGCTCTGCCACCAATTTTCTGATATGCACTTTGACATGTCACATCACCTCCCCGAAAGGCAGTGCCCAGCCTGGTTTCAGGGATCACAAAACAGTATGCCTCCACAGTGTAGCAAAGGGCAGCCAGAACCTGTTGGCTTGGGCTATAGCCGTGGAAAGAGTTTGCAGGACAGTTGGGCATGTGAGCAGCTGGCAGAGGAGCAGCAAGTGCACTCTAGGCCTCAGTCTGGCCCTCTAGGGAAAGCACTTCCTCCTGTCAGTCAGCTAGGAAGCTCGGAAGCAGGCAAGGCCTATCCACAAAAGACAACCACAAATCAAAATCCCTTAAGCTGCTTGGCTGCCTAGAGAAGTTATGAAAACATCAAAAGTAAATACAAAATGGGATGAAGTGTGGCAAATGCTATTTAAAGAGGTTTTCAGTCCCTGTCAGTTGAAGGCCCCAAAAAGATTAAGCAGAATCTTCATCATTCAAAAAAATGAACCTGTGGGCCCGTGACACATTCCACATTCCATCTCCACACATAGACCCCCTAAGTCTTCACTTGAATACCAAGAGCTTAAACAGAACTCCTCCCCAAAGGCCGAGCCAGAGCAGCTTCCTTTAAAGAATCAGTAGAAGTCCTGCGTAGTGATACACCCTGGGAATCCCAACGCTAGGGACACTGAAGCCTGAGGAATGGGAGTTTAAGGCCTGCTGGCTTTGTAACATGATCCTATCTCACTAAACAAAAGCAAATCAACATAAAAAAAATCAATGGAAGACTGGGGAGCTGGCTCAGTGGTTAAGCCTGTAGGCTGTTTTAGGCTGAGTTCCATCCAGGGCCCATAAAAAGAAAGAAAAGGTCAAAGGAAGCAGAGTTAGACAGACTGTGTGGGGCAGGGCGGGGCTGGGCTGGGCTGGGCTAGGATTGTTGAATTATTTAAAAGGCATCAAGGGAGCTAGAGAGATGGCTCAGAAGTTGACAACACTGGCTGCTCTTGCAGAGGATCTGGGTTCAATACCCAGCACCCACATGGCAGCTAACAACCATCCATAACTCCAGTTCCAAGGGATCCGACGCCCTCTTCTGACTTCCATGAGTATTGTGCACCATGGATGCACTTACATATGCAGGCATAATATAAAATAAAAAGAAATAATAAAAAAAATTTAATTAAAATAAAGGCTATCAAGGAAACTTGATGTGAAGACCTCCAATGAAGCAAGGTCTTCCAATAGGAGCCTTTGGAAATCCATGGAACTCTTAACAGGTAGGGTATTGTTGACTATTGGCTTTCGGGGCTTCCAGCCCTCATCCGTCTTGCTCACTCTCTGGAGACCCAGCCCAGTCTAATCCCTCCCCTCCCATTCTCTGATACCACCTGTTTTCAAAGGTGGTTAGCAGCTCAAGGGCTATTATACATAGTATGCATGGTTGGTTAGACTCTGTGGCACATCCACTTAGAGCACCAAACAGCTAGAGTCCCCACAAAGATCAGGTTAGAAGCCTGGTGGTGGGCACAATAGACTTGGTTGAACTGGTCAGAGCAGCCAGCACCCTCAGAGGAGGAGTTCCCAGTTCCAAACAGCGGCCTGAAAGAAATCCACTGAGAACCAGGTAGGTGTGAGGGAACTGCATCTCATCGCCTGCCTCATTGCCTGGCAACCTCCAGAGTTTCACTGACCTAGAATCCTACGAGGCCTTGAGCCTTGGGGCCCTGTGCAAATGTATTCCATGGCTGGAGCTGTTCCTTGCTATGCTGTTGCTCTTAGTCTAGACTGGGCTGAGGTGCCTCTCCTCAGACCACTTGAGAAGAGTGATGGTCCTTCAGCGTGGCACAGTCCTCTTGAGCAGCCCAAGGCAGCCGTGCCCTGCCAGGTATGGAGAGCTACCATGCTGTTAGGTGACCTAGCTGACTGTGTCAACTCAGACCCATACCCCATCTAGAGATGGCATACCAGCAATAGGCGAGCCAGGTCTCCCTAGGGGTATTTTGTGATACTCAAGACCTCACACATGCTAGAAAAGACCTCTACCACCAAACCATATCTCTGCTTCTTGTTTCATGACAAGGTCTTGCTACAGTCCAGGCTGGCCTGGAATTCAACATTCTCTTGTGTCAGTCTCCCAAGTGTTAGGATGTCCAGGACAGATGTGACAGCACAGCCCTTCTGTTCCTGTCTGCTGTAAAACTTGGCTCTGACTCTCAGAGAGAGGGCTAAAGGGTCAACATTACCCCCTTGGGAAAATGGAAGAGTTTGTTTCTCTTCACCTGAGGCAAAGGTGGGGATGGGGAGCTGAGGCGGGACCAGCATGGGTTAAGACTTGGGTTAAGATTTTTAAAACTTCTCTTTGGACAGGGGGATGGATGGCTTAGTCAGTGAAGTGCTTGCTTTGCAAGTTCCAGGACTTCGGTTTGAAACCCCAAAATCCAGTATAAAGCTGGAGGCTATGACATGTGCCTGTAATCGCAGAGATAGTGGGATAGAAGGCAGAGACAGGCAGCCCCCTGGAAACTCACCAGCCCAG